TGTTCTGTAATTTCCACATTCTGTTGGGTCACCTTTCTTTGGGATAGGAACAAATATAGATCTCTTCCAGTCAGTTGGCCAAGTGTTTGTTCTCCAGATTTCTTGGCACAACTTGGTGAGCACATCCAGGGCAGCATCTGTTAACTGAAATATGTCAACTGGTATACCATCTATTCCTGGAACCTTATTTTTTGCCATTTCCTTCAAAGCAGCCTGGACTTCTTCTTTCATCACCATAGGCTCTTGCTCATATGTTGTTTCATATGTTGTTTATATCATAGAAACCAATATATGTCCTTTGTGACTGGCTTCTTCTACTTAGTTTGACATTAAATGTCATGCATGTCAGTATTATTTTTTATGGCTGAATAATACTTCATAGTATGAATGCACCATATTTTATTTACCTATTCATGAATTTTTAATATTTTTTATTTTATTATTTTTTATTTATTTGCTTACAAAGTTTGTATACATTAGTTTCATGCTGTTTTTCCACTCACATTGTTCCATACAATCATCCCCATTCACTAAGTTTTATAAAATTAATCACCAGTACATTATGCCCACCATTACCCTATCATTTCAGGCCCCCATTGGATCTTTCACATTTCCTTTACTCTCTCTCTCTCCAACCACCAAATTGTGCAACCCAATGACTTAACTCCTACCAATCCTCACCCCTCTGTTCCCACCCCATCCCCCTTTGGATCTCCATATATGTTTTATTAGTTATACGTCTATTTTTTATACATCTTCCTTTTCTTTATTGTTCTTTTGTATGCTTCTATTTTTTACAATAATGGTCTTATGCAGTATTTGTCCTTATGAGACTTAGTTCAGTCAGTATAATGTTCTCCAGTCTCTCCTAAGTTACGTAGAATTTTTCAAAATCATTGTTCTTGCATGCTGCATAGTATTCCATTGTTTGAATGTACCACATTTTCTCAGTTCATTCAGTTATGTTTGAACATGTTCTTGTAAGGTGAATAATGCTACTATGAACATTGGTGTACATGTCAAAAGAGAAATTTTCAAATATATTTGGAGATGAAAGAGACCCCCTATAAAGAAAGCACTTCTGAAAAATAAAAATGAGGCAGGAGGCATAGTACTCCAACCTCATAACCTATTGTTGCAGTTGTTGTTAAGTGCCATCGAGTCACAGGCGACTCATAGTGACCCTATGAAGGAGAGTCCTCAATGCTCATAACCTACTACACAGTGGTAATGACCAAAAGGGCATGGTACTGGCATAATGATAGGCACACAGACCAATGAAAATAATTGAGAATCCAGAAATGGACGTATCCATCTATAGTCAACTGATATTCAACATGGAAATAAAATCTATCAAATGGGAAAATGATCTCTTCAACAAATGGTACTGGCAAAACTGGACCACTACCTGCAGAAAGCTGAAAAAGGATCCACATCTCACACTATACACAAATATCAACCCAAGGTGGATCAGAGACCACCTTGACTAAATCACAAAACCACAAAGTTCCTAAGAGACAAAATTGTACCAAGTTTAGAAGGCCTAGCCAATTGGGAAAAAATATCTGACAATACCATCTAAGACAAGGGACTTATATCAAAAGTTTAAAGAATCCTACAGGGCCTTTTAAAGAAAAAGACTGATAACCCAGTTACAAAATGGACAAAAGACATGGAAATATTCTTCACAGGGAAGACATTCAGATGGCTAAAAGACATGTGAAGAAATGTTTCACTGGCAATGAGAGACGTAAATCAAAACCACAGTGAGATATCATCTTAGCCTAGTAGTAGCAATGACAAAGTTTAGCTGGGCAGCAAGCAATACATGTTGGAGAGGATATGGAGAGGTGGGAACTCTCATACACTCTTGGTGGGATTGTAAAATGGTACAACCACTCTGGAAGCTGTTTGATGTTCCAAAAAAAGTTGAATGTAGAAACTCTGTATGACCCAGCTATGTCACTACTAGGAATATATATCAAGGAAATCAGAACT